GTTGGGCGAGGGGGAGGGGAATCCTTCATACAATACATATTTGTGAAGTTGGTATCTTCATCTCCTTTGTTGATAAGCTGAATGTTTTGTTCCAGGAATATTCCTCACTTTGCAAAGGTGAAGGTTATGAAAAAGCCTGGTGGCCACTGGGAAGAACTACAGATTCATCACAGGTGAACTTTGATGTCTTCCAGTTCACTACAGTGCATTTTATTCTATTCTTGTATACTGTAATTTAAGCCTACATGCTTACAAGCATGATGGGAATTTTTGGTCACCCTGTTCTTCTGTTCTGTCTTCCAACATACTCTTTGTGGTCTACTTATATCATGACACCATTTCTGTAATATTCTTGGGTAGTAGATGGAGTTGTAATCTATGCTACTTTACCTCTTGCAGCATTCGATCAATCGTCTGTGTGAACCTACCTAGTTTTTCTGGAGGTTTGAATCCATGGGGCGAACCTGGTGCAAGGAAAATAAATGTGAGTTCCGATGCGCCATGCCCCATCAATTTTTGTTTGAGCTGCATGTTGATATGATTCACATGTTTTCCGTGACAATGTGCAGACGGAGTTCACGCTGCCTTACGTCGATGATGGCCTTATTGAGGTTGTCGGGTTCCGCGATGCTTGGCACGGGCTGGTTCTGTTGGCTCCTAATGGGCACGGCCATCGCCTTGCACAGGTATGAAGTGTTTCTTTTGTTCCTCCTGTCCCGTTGGCATCTCACAACTGAATATTGGACGAGATTGCTTGCTGCAGTGCATTAATGCGTTTTGCAACTTCATGCATCAAAACTCTCTTCTTCCCATCCTGCAATATCATGCTGACATCTTGCAAAACCAGACCCACAGGATCCGCTTCGAGTTCCACAAAGGCGTGGTGGACCACACGTTCATGAGGGTCGATGGGGAGCCGTGGAAGCAGCCCCTCCCAAAGGACGATGACACTATTGTCATTGAGATCTCACACCAAGGCCAGGTGACCATGCTAGCAAACGAACCCTGCAAGTCAATGAGCCTCAGTGACCCGTTGTCGTCACACGGCCACAGCGACCACAGTGACGAACACAAGAACGACGTGGATGACGAGGAGTGGGAGGATGGCAGGAGGAAGTTTGGGGCCGCGGAAACCTTCAAGCTCCCTGATGAGATCGACATTGCTCATCTCAGCTGAGCTGCATATCCATTCTTATGGCAAACATCATATCTTGCCGGTTCACAATATTTGTCCAGTAAAGTGATATCACTATATGCAAATAGCTTCATGCAAAACCCTGTATAGCTGGAGTTTAGTGAACCAAGCGCGGAGCAGCTATTTTTATTTACTAATGCAACTTTGTATAGATTCAGAATCTTGATAGAAATGTGCAACTTATTCCTTACAGAATTGTACTCTATTTTCTATAAGTCCGTTGCCTCATTAATTTAGAGGGCAGATGTTGGAGTGAGGCTTTTTGGCTCTTGGGCTCCATGGAGCCCAGAATTTTCAAAGTATTTTTTAAGTTCCATTTTTTTTGAAAATAAATACACAAGTACTTGTAGATGTATACTGTATGTGTGTAAATTTTCATGTGGTTCAAGCACAAAGTTCAAAGACTTGCATTAATCATAAAAAACTCATCAACTAAGTAGTGGCTCACGACATTACTAGAGCATAGTACAACAAGCCAAGTATCCCATGGAGTTTGAATGGTAGGTTCAAGACCATCGTTCGCATCCGGCCGCATCAATGACCCTAGTCTATAATGGTTACATGAGAATAAAACTAATCAGTTTCATCTTCTAATTAGAATCCCTCCAAAAAGTTACGAAAACACTAACGTCCACACGTGTGACAACATTCCAACTCACCCACATGTCTGAATCACCGTACAGTTAAGTTTGCACGAATCTTGTCACACCGAGGCAATTTTCGTGTGCCACGTAGGACAAGGCTAGTGTGTGGGCGTTGGAGAGGTCGCCCACACGCCTCACAGCACGCGGTTGCCAGCTGCGCTGTGTGGGCGAACTAGTTTTTGCCCACACAGCCACCACCTAGTCCACGCGCGTGTGGGCGAACTGCTTTTCGCCCACACGACAATCGTACGTTGTTGGATGGCAACTGCAGTTGCGCGTACATGACAACTAGGTAAATACACATGGCAATTATGATTCGTTTGCTAGACGGCAACTACAATTGCGCGTAGGTGGCAATCAGGTAAACATACATGGCAATTATGATTAATCGCACGTGGCAACTAGGTAAACACACACGACAATTATTGTTTGACCATATGTGGCAATTCGTTAATCACACACGACAACTATGGTTTGATTACACGCGGCAACTACCATAAATTAGACATGGCAACTATAGTTAACCAAAACAGAGAGAGTTGCCATGTTTTTACAACCATATTTACCATCCCGAATAACTACATCTGCCATCCCGGATGGCAACTAAATCATCAACCCGCGGGTACCTATTGTATCTGCGTCAGGACGTGTGGGCATATTTTGCTTCGTGCCACACGCGCAGGGTGGGGATGCGTAGTACTTGTTGGCCGTGTGATACAAAGTAGCTGCGTCCACACGTGTGGGCAATTCTACTGTTCACCCACACACGGCCCGTGTGGGCTGCCCCCTACTCATGCCACACACGGTGTGTGTGCGAATACCTATTTATGCCACACGTGTGGTGAAAGAAAGCCAAAGGTTCGTTTTAAACAATGAGTACATTATCCTATCTTCAAATAGCAATAGCTACTTTGCATGCAAATCCTTAGTGACAAGAATGACCTAAAACTGAAGCCAAAAAATCACAACTATTGAAATAGACTCTCCTTCAGTGTTTCCATCAATTTCCAGTACTAAACCAAAGATAATATCCTCAAGATATATCATTGAAACAAGTGCCACCCAAATCCTATAACTTCTAACAAAATATAAGTGAAGCACAGAAAGTTATAGCCGCATATCACCAAATTTGTTACTCCAACAGATAAAAGTGAAGCACAACAAGTAAAATAGCAAAGCCAAGCACCTCCATAAAGATGCAAACGAACAGGGGTGATGATTACATTTATTCAAAATAAGAAAAGGACACTCTAAGATTATGCAAACAAAGCAAAAC